ACTAAACCAGTAAGTAATAAGTATGCATATTTGTTATAACTACACATAAAAGGGCGTGAAATGCGATTTTAAAGATAATGAATGTAATTAGTACGAAGGTTGATAATGGACAATAACGATAGAGAAGCCGGCTAGTGTCTACCTATACTGTATTCTACATCGAAGACAACACAAGTTACAAGTTGTGTTGAGAAGCCCCATAGATGCATCTTGCTTGGGTCTGCGTCGTTCATGCGTGTTATGAGACCGGTCGAGAAGCGTCACTATATCCAAGAAGCCATTTCAATGTTTACTTTCGGATAATATATCAGTTGTATTTTCTTACCTAATTTCTGTTATTACCTAGCTATCTAAGTCTTGTACTTGCTATGGTTAGCAATAATTATATATACATACTTAACATAATTAATCAGATAGGTATACTGTGTGGGTCGGCGCAGTACGTCCTCTTCCAAATGAATTTTATTGGACGTCGTATCTGGGTATACCGGCTTTTTATACATATCATCTTTCATACAGTCCATGTATATTTCTTTCAGTCATTTTCCGATATTTTTTATACAAATAGTTGTAGGTGTACGAGATCTCATATTAAGCAGTCTTTATAAGCAGTTTTTATAAAAATAATTGTATGTCTGTTTATATGAAATAAATGGGTAACGTGGATTAGAATTTTCTAGTTTTATATTAATAGTAGTCATTAAATTGAACCGCATAATGAGGTTTGGTTCTTGGATAGTTAGGATGATTTACTTCTTAGGAGAGTAGTCTTTCTTATGACACTACTAACATATGCCTCTCTTAATAAACTGTTTTTAATTACAGAATTTACGGTATATTTTAATCTATCTATGAGCCTACCTATTATCAACGAAGAATGAATTCCATACCTCTATCATTATTAGTCGAACTGAAACATGAACTGTATAAAAATACTTATTACCAACATCACCACTGCATGAGTGGTAAATATCATCTATATAATAAATATCGTATACTTATCCATCGAGGCAAAACATTAAACCAATAAAAGAATAATTTAAATTAACCTATGTAACATGAAAATTATCTAAGTACTTTCTACGGTTATATCTGATATATGCATACATGTTCGGTTTACAACAGAAAGCAAGAAGTCGTCTTAGTATCTTTGTTGTCTGTGTGTCATCCGCCAAGCAGCGTGCTTTGTACGTTATCATCATCATCATCTCAACTCGGAAGACGTCCACTGCTGGACAAAGGCCTCCACCAAAAATCTCCACGACGATTGGTCCTGCGCTGCTCGCATCTACCGTTGTGTTTGGGTGGAATGGTGAGATAGTTTTTTGAGCTTGTGTTAAGAATAGGTACTAGGATTACTGACATAAATACTTATATATTTTTGTAAATATGAGCATATCTACTATACATAAAATACACTCAGAGTGATACAAACAATCATATTCATGAGTACATTTTTTTGCGCAGTGCGAGAAATTGAACCCGCGTCCACCGAAATAAAGCGGTGTGCCAAATCACTAGACACTCGAGTCCGTCAAAGATAAGCCAAGCCAGTGACATTACAGAACAACCGGCGTAAGATCTTACTTCTCCGGAATGGCAATGCATGAGTGGTATTAGTGAAGTCACAAGATAAACGTAATGGTTGTTCATCTATATAGACGACGGTGACCACATACCACTAGGGGGCCCGGTAGCTTGTTTGACATTACATAAATAATATAAAAAAATATTCCTATGGAGCTCTGGATAAAAAGAGAATTTTATCAAGAGTTCCATCTGGATATTATTGATTACATAGAACTGTTGCGACATTAGATTAATAGTAGTTACTAGGGGTAAGTATAATATCGGTATTCGATACCAAATTACAATAATTAAAATTAAATTCAAATTATAAATTGAAATTAGATTTGTATAAAAACTAAAATTTCCCGTAAGATTTACGACGAAAGCCCCTGATAAGTATATACACGAGTATCTACATACGCAGTGTTTTTTTTATAATATCAGTAGTCGTACTTACGTGGTCGTTCCCACGCTTTGCAACGGATTACATGAAATGCCCTTTCGGTGCTTCGCTCCGACACTGACCTGTGCTTTTTGCGCAAAAAGAATGGTCTGATAAATCACGGGTTCGTTGTATGAGATATGGATAAAATTCTTCGATTTTTGCCTTTTACTTGTCCAAGTTTTTTGTTGGTATCGATCACAGATGATCAACAATAAAGGTATTAGGTACCTGCACAGATTTGACAGTCGAGGTGCCTTGCGTCACAATAAAGGAATGATAATATCAAAGGTCCATGTTATGAATGCTTAGTTCCGCATAAAATGTTGGTATAAAATATATGTAAGTAAGAGTTTATTTATAATAATAATAACCTTGGACCTATCACTAGTGCTATTTAATTCCAAGCTGAGTTGAACTTATTAGAATTGAAACTTACTAGACAATTAATAGAAATAGTTAAATAAATGTTATTTCTGTAAGTACATGCTCATGAATACAAATATTTGTATCATCGAAAGTAAGTCAGTGTCCTAAATCGCTAATCCACTGATTTTTACATTATTCTCTAAGTGGGATACAGCCACATAACAGCTAAAAACTTTTCTTATTCTATAAATATTACTACATATGAGATACTTTAAAGAATGTTTAGTTGTTTAGCAATTTCAGTCACCCTTAAATGTCTAGATTAGATTATGACTAGACTACTAGACTAGATTATGCATATTTCACAATTTGAAAAAAATATTATTCTATGGATATTTTTATATGGGTATTCATTACTCTTATAGTATCGTTTATACTAGCAGTTTCCGGTCAATTTATTTAGTTTTTTTTTTATCAAAGACCGCCTATATTTGGCCTTGTATTACAATCTATCTCAAGCCCCATTAAAATTTGTTCAACCGTTTATTCATGAAAATGTAACAAATATAGCCTATGTGTTATTCTAATATACCTAAGCTATATTATTATAAAGTTTCATTAAAATCCATTCAGTAGTTTTTTCCTGTAAGAGTAACAAACTTTCACATTTATAATAGATAGGTATTAGATAAAACACTAGGTACTAGTTTAATAAGATCCGACGGCAACACTAGTAGATATCGAGTCGGCATTGCAAGTCGTAAGTGAACTGCCACATTTATAGCGCCATTAAAATAAGCAACGAACCATGTATCGTGTTCAACGAGTATGAATGTAACATTTCCTTTAGTTAGCTAAATTGCGTATAATGAGCGAGGGCGGTGAAGGGCGGCGCGGGCACCCATTGCACAGGTGCGCCGCGCGTGCTAATATCACTAACTGCTGCCGACTGTACCGTGCCGCCCGGCGCGTCCTACCCTCCCGCATGATATCCTTTGCACCACCTAATTCACGTAATTAAATATATCATTCTAAATCTAAAGTGGCCTAGCTTAGTTGTTTACTACCCCCACTTTTAGAGATCCTGTGTTTCACTCTGATGTTCTGATATAAAATAAGGCAGAAAATTACAGGATGTGGAGACATAACGTCATAGCAACAGCATAGTGGTACCGTTGGTTGTTCATGTGATCCCTTATCATTCCATTTATATGAAGAAAGGTAGAGGAACTCTAAAGTAGACAGACTTAATAGGAAGTTTACCTACCAGTGATTCACATACTTGACTCGATAAATCTACATGAAAAACCCACTGACATAGAACCGTCGCTAGAAATTCTTATTAATGTTTGTTTATGAATCATCATCGATATGATGGTTTTTACACCAAAAGAATAAAGGTATCTTGTATTGTAAGTTCTTAAAGGAACTTAGAATTTAACCATTAGTCTTAAAATATATATTTTTAGATATTAATGTAAGTATACATAAAATGTAGATTAGAAATGACTATTTTCCAACAATCAAAATTTAAATGCCAGTAAAGCTGTAAATGTTAATTCTCACAACTTTCTGTATGATATTGGCGTATGACAGGATTTAGCATTGGGTATAGTCGGAGCAACGTAAAATATAAAAAACAACAATTCGTAAAATATTGTAAAGATTTATTTACATTACTATCACAATATACTCGACTATATAGTTAAGTAATAAAATCAATTTAAAAATAAACAACGTGTTACCTAAGATAAACAAGAACATAATTACAAGTAATAGACACAAAATTAATAATGATAACGATTTGACACATTAGGTACCTACAGGGTATATCATGATTTCAATATCGTATTAATAATATTTATATATACTGCCATAAAATTAATTCATATTGTTTCTTTTATGAATCACTAAGTAGGTAAGTACCTAAAGCCTTTAAATGATATCTTTAAGTACATACCTAAACCTACTAATAAAATATACCATGAAAGATAAATGTAGTTTATACTCGTAGTTCTAAATACTTAGAATCATAGATTTTTGAGATCGACAAAAAACAATATTGAATAATAGTAATCTTTCTTCGAATTAACTTAATTTTTAAGTAAATATATTATGTAGATCATATAGCTTACACAAAAAACTACATTAATTAAGGACTTTTAATATATTAATGTCCTTTTTGGCGATAATGTCATTGGCATTAAAATTAGTTATTCTGGCGATTGATATTTTTTCAAATATGTACCTATTAACGATTGCTGATTTAGAAGTCGAGGAAAATTAAATGTTATTGTTTGTTCTGCCTAGTATCAGTAGGTATACATTATTACACCATTGTTAAACAATTGTATAAATATATTCGATAAATCAAGCCGTCCATTCAATAACATGTAACTTTATTTCCACTAACTGATGATTTTTAGGTGATTTCATACAGTAGCTAATATTAATTCATATCATATATTGAAGTGCAGTTAATAGATAGCTCGCACCAAAATTCCCATAAAAATAATTAGATGCATATATGAAAAGAAGTATCTTCTGTGCTATTTTCATTTTAACTGCAATATTTACGTGAATGATTCATATTAAAATATGTGGTGCAGTAAGATGGTGATTAAAGATTATCAATGTTTTTTTGGAATGAAAATGTCTATCTACTCAGTGGATTAACAGTACTATGCCAATTAAACATCATAGATAAGTACTAATTTTAAGTATTATGACCCTTTCTGAAACTTTTTAATTTTGACAATAATAACAATCAGTCCATTATTAGGACTTCATTATTGCATTATAATTTAAGATATAAGCGCGCCTTGTGAATGTGGTTTAATGTGGACGGGGTGGGGCGGATGGGGGTGAGGAGGGTGGGCGGCATGCGGTGGCTGGCGAGCTTGGTGGCAACGTTGTGCGTGAACATGAGAATGAGCGCGCAATTCCTCGCCGTGTTCTCGATAGGCTCGTTGTTTATCTTCGAAATCTCTTAAACGCTGGTTGTAGCGTTCAATTTGATCTCGGAGTGCAGCATCTTCTATGGCGGCACGCTCTTCATCAAGTTCCAGACAACCAGCTCCGTCAAGCCGCTCCAGATCAATCCAACCACGCCATCGTACACACACTCCGTTCATAATGAATCTGGATACTATATGTGCCTGATAACAAAGCAAAAAATATCGTTAGTTGGTGCTGTGTGGTACAGTAGTTCATTTACTAAAATAATTATTGGCAGAAGTTAACCAATTGCATTAAAATTTACATAGGCCAAACGAGTAAGTATAAATCCTTTATAGCGAAAACAATAATGAAAATCCAAGTATTCGTTATTATTTTCTTATCAGTAATGTTTTAAAATGAATTTGCCTATAAGGAATGCTATTTCTAGAATATATTGGTAACTTTTGACAGTTGCTGCGTAAATATTCGGAATGACGAAAGGATGAGTTTTAATAACAAAATTGAAAGACGTAAAAAATTACGTGGTCAATTGCCAACGAGGAATGGATACTATTTAAAACAGGAAGTAAAGTTTTATTCCGTGATACTATCGCGCTTTATTTTGATTTATCCAAGTTACAATTTTTTAAAATAAACAACTATAATTAGAATATTTTCAACTGTTGGGAACTATTGGGCATGTTTATCTATATCTAGAATTTATTAAACATAATGTCGATACTATTAAGTAATAGAAATATAATTTACGTCCCTATACCGGAAATCTTCGGACTACATTATTTATGGCAGACACAAAAAGGTAGAGACCGAAATTAAAAAAAAAATGAATGCGCCGTTGGTGGCAGAAATAGCAAAAGTCCACCAGTAAGCAAGCAATTATTCATCGGTCATATGGTGAGCAGAAGTGGTCCTTCCAAAGATAAAGTTTTTATGGCACGTGAGTTTCTTTTAGTTGCCCCTTATTGAGGGTCGCCTACCTATGTTGTAGACAAAAACAAAGACGCCAGCTATTTTTTTCTGTCACATGCAATGTTTCATTATCTTAGAATTTTAATTCTTTTAATATTTAATACGTTCATCTGAATGTTTCACGCAATATTTTCGACAGATTCAGCTTAGACGAGACTTGATTGATATATGTAAACTTATCTCATCATTTTAAATGCGTAGGTAGTTCTCGCTTCATGTCACTATTATAAAATATAGTATTAAAGAATAGATAAGTATTGCTTTCTTTTTATTTCATACTCTTTCTGTTTATTTAAAAGAATATTTAATATGTTGTTTTTTTTTCAATATTTATAATAATAGATACCTAAGTCTCTTTGTTGCGCACTACAAAATATTTAATCGGTTAATCTGTACTGAAACCGGCTAATTAATTAGTCAATTCCGCAGAATTAACTAATTAATTTCTTTGAGAGAACTTATTCTCTAGTGGTAAATTATTTACAAACGCAACAAAGAGACTTAGGTATCTATTATTATAATTTAAAAAAAACGACATATTAAGTATTCTTTTAAATTAATCTAACCTAAAATGTATATTTTAACTACATTTCAATTCAATAGGTAGTAGTTAAAATATACATTTTAGATTACTTTTGGTATTGACTGCAATTACCTTTCTCTTTCTCTATAGCTCATTCTACCACCAGCGGCCTATTTCAGTGTGAAAAACAGACAGAATCGAACGACATAAGGCAAGCGAAGTCATTCGGGATCGCGTGCTCACCTTGTTCCGGCATCCGCACCGTACAATGGTTTAATTGGGGTGTATTGTAGCCACGAACCTTGCAATTTTACTAATAACCTCCTCTGTCGTTTTTGTACTTATTTTTTTTTAACAATTTATAATACGCTTGCCGTATGCTTTTGTAACACGTTATGCGTCGGCGTCAACTCTTTATTTGTAAAAAAATTAAGTCCAGTAAGAATTAAATAACATCTATTAATAGAAATGTTACGTAAGTCTTTTAATAAACTATATAATTAGAATTACCAGTATCAATACGTCAGTAATTTTAAAAATTACCTAATTTATTTTTCCATAATTGTCCCTAGTTTCTAACTGGTGGGTAGTTAATAATGGAAAACCATTCCATGAGCTATAAACTAAACATAGCGATCTGGTATAAAAGTTTGATTAGTTTTATTATTGTTAATTGGTATCCGAAATTTCTATATTATATTATGTAGTTACTCCTCTGCATATTGTATACAAAATCTAATTAATGTCTAGTCAAGAGGGTAGATTGAATAAGATATTAAGAAGAGGGATCGAATGGAAAGCGTCGACGGCGGCCATTTTGTCGGGCGGGTGTTACGCCGCGACGCCTACCAATCGCAACGCTGTTTTCCCTTATTGATTTTGGGGGAAATGTTTTTCCGACTTCTCCCTACGCGATACGTACCAAGTGAATTTTAAACTTATAGTTCTGAGTTCACATTTAGATCTTTTAAAAACATTTGTCATCATGATCTTGTATGGAGTTGTAATATCGAAGCAATCCAAAAAATTATTAACGTTTTAACAAGTGTGAAAACTTCAACATTTCCTTTCACTGCTCCGTGTCCACTAACAATGCTGTGTTTCTTCTTATAAGAGAAGACTACTGTTATTACGCTATCTGGATTACTTTCGGTTTAATTTTAGTTTCTTTCAATTACTTATACCCATCTGTTCCGTGATTTTATCAGTGTTTATTGATTGGTAGGAATCTAATGATTTTCTATATAATGATATTAATCTACTTCCAAATACACATATACGAGTTCAATATATCTCTCTATAGAAAAATTGATATTTTCTATGGGAGAAAAGAACCCTAGCTTCATTACACTTCAGTGCGTAGTTAAATGAACCGAATGTAAATAAATATAAGTATTCATATGAATGCACAACGGGCGGCCTGTGATGCGTTATAGAGGGTTCAATTCAATAAAACGAGCACGAATGTAATACGTAAATATTATACAATTACATAGTTACGTATAGCCATATACCTCAGAAGGCCAATTAGACATATTAGAATATGTAGTAATGATTATATTGCTAGTTCTTAATATTTATTCAGAATTAGGCAGTTGCCTTGTACTTATCTAGATAAGTATCAACAAATATTATTCTATAAGCACTGTTTATAAAATACACATTGGTCATTGTAGCACATAACTTTATTAAAAAAATATTCCTACATGAACATAAAAAATTGGGTATTTGTTCAGAATTCGCAAAAATATTCTTGATGAATTTTTATTCAATTTATTTTTCATTCAATGAAAATTTATATATTTATACCTACCTACTAAATTTCATCTGGAACGATTAACAGTTAGATTATTTATTATCCGAATTCACTGAGACAGCGCCGCGGAAAACAGCTAGATAAATCCATTCCTCCAAATTAATGCCTCGACATGTTTCAAAACGCGTCCCAAATTACATGAATCAAATAATGAACCCGAAGAAAAGATGTCATTCACTCAGCCGCATACTGGAGTCGGACGAACTTAGAGCGTGACCGAGACGTTATATGCGGTGTTACGGCTTTATACTTTTTCATTAGCGGCTTCAATGTTATTTATGTCTTAATTTCGGTTATGAAAATGTGGGCCGGAAGCAGTATTAGCCGTTGATGACGAGCCTTCGTCTGGTGACGAATGATGTCATTAGCAGGGTCTACTTACATTGTTGTTTATGAATCACACTCCTTTATTTTATCTATAAAGGTCTACATACGTACTATAATTTATATTGACCGATCGCTTTTGGCGTGTTTGTATTTTTATAAAACTTTACTAGGTACTTAGATAGATTCTGTCTTTCCCCATAAAAGTAAAATTTGATTAAAATCTGATATAAGTATGTGCAAAGGTTTAGATTTTAATAATTTTTTTTCTTTACGTACACGTTTTCTACACGTCCCAGTCGATGTTTTTTTGTTAATGCAATGAAAATTTATATCATATAGAAAATTCGGAAGAAAGTTTGGGTTCGGTTTCATTACTTATTTTGAGATTGTATGATATTATTATTTTGTATGACTTACAAATACAATTTCAATATTTTATAAGACATATAATATAGTACAGTAAGGTCCCAGAGGTTGTTATACTTACTTGAAAGTTTAAACATAAATTATATTGTAAGGATTTGTATGGTATTCTTTACATAATTGCATTTGCACTATTACATACTTACACTTTACATAATTGCATATACAATATTTAAATTTACATTTATTGACATTGCTACTGTATTCAAAGTCAATCGACATATTGATGATATGGACGAAGTAAACGGTTCTCTCTCTTATGTTTTAAAATGGTTTACGGCAAATAATATGCTACTAAATGCAAATAAAACTAAATGTATCAAATTTACTCTCCCCAATGTAAGGCCGGTAGATTAAAAAATCGTATTGGACAATAAATCTATTAATTTTGTTGACGATACTGTATTTCTAGGTATCACATTAGATTCCAAGTTGCAATGGGGTGCTCATATTACTAAATTGGCGAGTCGACTTAGTTCTGCCGCTTATGCGGTAAGAAGAATTAGACAATTAACAGACGTGGCAACGGCTAAACTTGTCTATTTTAGCTATTTCCATAGCATTATGTCGTATGGTATTTTGTTATGGGGCAAAGCAGCTGATATAAATACAATATTTACTTTACAAAAGAGGGCCATTCGCTCCATTTATGGTATGGGTTCCAGGGAGTCATTGCGAGAGTGTTTTAAGGAATCAAATATCCTCACCGTTGCTTCTCAATACATTTATGAAAATATCATCTATGCCAGAAGGAATATAGACAGTTTCAAAAGAGTTAGTGATTGCACTAATAAAAGCTTACGTAACAATAACAAACTGATTTTACCTAAATGTCGTTTGGCTAAAGTTAGTAATTCGTTTTATGGCAATTGCGTAAGGTTTTACAATAAAATATCAGAGTCTGTTATAAATCTGTCAGAAAAAAGATTTAAATGTCAAATAAAACAGTTCCTTTGCAAAAAAGCTTACTATAAAATTGAAGAATTCGTTAACGATAATAATGTTTTTATAGAAAAACTTTAAATCTATAGCACTGACAATATTATCTGATTACATTAATAATGAGTGCGTAGTGACTTCTATGTTGATTATCGCATGCCTCTTACTTGTTATGCTGTAATAATTTATATAAAAAAAAAACATCTATTAAAAAGAGCAACACACAAGTTTCTTGCTCATTCTTCTTGTGATGAATCTGCATTCCGAATGAGTGGTAGGATCAAAATATGACTATTCAAAAGTGCTTGTTTTTTGCAAAAATTGAGTTTATTTGAATAAAGATTATTTCTATTTCTATTTCTACATAATTATGTTATATTTGTATGATTAATTAATTATATTATATTTGTATGAACAAATATCACTTACCTACTTTAGGTTGGGCCATAATAGAAAATAGTTTTAACTCTTTAGTTTCATAATTATTAGGTACTTGTTTTAATTGTCGTTATACTTTAAATGATTGATATCATATATAATTATAATGACAAACGATGACAAGTAAAACAGTAATCTATATATATAAATAAAATTGTGAGTGTCTGCTTGTAATATTGAAATAACCGTTTTTTACTACACGCATATGAATATAAATACGGTACATACACCAAAATAACATTTTTTACAATTTTTGTTTGTCTGTTCCGGCTAATCTCTGAAATGGCTGGACCGATTTTGACGGGATTTTTATTGGCAGGTAGCTGATGTAATAATGAGTAACTTAGGCTACCTTTATTTTAGAATAATTCTCTAATTAACTTTTTGTTAAATTCGAAGACAAAGTCGCGGGTACAGCTAGTCTTGTATATAAGAACAACATTGAGGACATCGTTTTACTATGTGATACTATTCGAGTAATAAGAGGATTTTGCCTCTTATCTTGTAATTTTATTGTTTTGTCTCACCATCTACCCGAAAAATATCTTACAAAGAAAGCTTGACAACTAAAATAGATAAGACCAAGGTGCCCATGTAGATACTTTATTTCAAAGTCTACCTCCAATAAGGTAAGTTGTGCAAAGTCGTTTACGACATGAACCAAGCAGCTTGCTTCATAATTACAGAGCACGGAGGCATCTTACTCCTCCAAAATAATCATGCATTGGTATTTAGGTACCTCTGGCGCCACACGATAACGTGATGGCCGTGATTCTGTAAATTATGTATATGTTTGCTATTCCACTTACATAATTAAAAATATTTTATCTTACCTTTCCGTTTTCCTTTTGAAAATCACAACCCCGGTTATTGTAGGGCGAGTGGTCGAACACGAGCTGTAGGTTGGTTCCGGTGGCAGTGAACGCAATCTCTGTGTGGCCCTCTCTACAGCCGCTGGTGAACCGCATCTGCCGTTCTTCTGGTGGACGGTCACGATAACCGGTGTACCTCACCTAAAACAATAATATTATTATTTACATGGAATACTCGTATTACGCCGGAACTATGAAGCCCCAACTTTAAATTCTGCCGCCGTTAATAATTTCAATCGATTCCAAAACTTGTGTACTTTATTGCTTGAAATTTAAAAACCGCTTTGATGATATTTTTAAAATTTATAAAATATATGTAGTATAAGCTCTATTTTGTATTTATGTTACATTATATATCCTATACTCTGTATTGAATCATAGTGCTGTCATGATGTCCGATCGTAGATACATTAAAAGGCACGTCGTAATATATATTCATCTTTATTCAAATATCAGGGAAAACGATATCAATGCATTCCAGATATTTTTTTTATATACTTGTAATGTAAACATGTCAAATTTACGATGTGCTTATTCAGTGCGATCTGGCATAATCTAGTCAGCCCCTAGCGCCATGCGTTCGGGAAAAGTATGCAATATTATCTAATCTGTGTATTTAGAAAACTAGCTTACCCGGCAAAAGCTGTTTTGCCAAATAAACTTAACTAATTAGGAGTTGATGGTAGAAGAGTGAAAATTTTAAGTTATAAGTAATAAGAAAATAGCTTGAGAATGACCACTATTATCACTTAGATGCATAGGGACTGGTACACCAGGTTACTAAATTTGCTGTCAAGGTAGGTACCTAGATAAGAATAATTAGGGAGGAGACGTTTCGAAGAAGTGGTATACTGAAATACATTAATAATCCATATAAAGTATCTATCATCATACGTCCATCTACGCTGTACCAATTACTACTGGCTAACAAGTTCCTTTCTAAATTTTCATGCCCCTATACAATCTTAGGTGGTCTAAACCGGTATAGACCCTGCGTTGTATAGTAACTGCCCACGATGGTATTTTTTGCTATGTATTATTATTATGTTACCACTATAAATTGATTAACTATACATATCGAAACTTATTAATGTATTCCGTATCTATCTATATTTTATTATTATTAAGTTATAAGTATTTAGTTAGGCACATAAATTACTCATTTTTAACGTAGAACATTAATTACCCTTGGCCCTGATTTTTTAGATAACTAAGAAACATAAATGGAGCTTCAACAATTTAAAAATATCTGCGCTAATGTGGCTAAGTATCTGCTTACGCGAATAACTGGAATCTTACTAATGATATTTATTATTAAGTCGGTAGGTATTCGTTATTTAAGTAATTGACTATTTTTAAATGAAATTGTACCTACATATCTACTTTTTAATTGCGTACTTCTTACTAAATTCTTTTTCTTTTATTTACTTTTGGGACAGTAACATGTATACAATATTACTGGAAGACATTCACAGAAATATAAAGCTGTTTTCCGAATCCTCCTTCGAGTTTATAAAGTCCAAACTGAGTCTAATATAATTTAGCTGTACTTATATTATCTTTGTCTTTGATCAACATGAAATTAAATATTAATTACTGTAAAAATATTGTCAAAATGGTGCAGTAGGTGACTAGTGTACGTAGGTGTAATAAAATTTCAATTATTGGAATAACATGTAAAACTAACAATGACATAATAATGTATCATATTTTCCTGTTATTGTCCTTACATTATTTTTCATAAAGTTTATGTTATATTTAAAAAATATGAATTATTTTAACCATATCAATAATAATATCCTGTCGGTAGTTACTAAAAAATATCCTAGATATTTGCTTACCTCACTTTCTCTGCTCAATCTTTTAAATAGGTCATCAGATTCAAATTTCGCTTTCTGGTCTGGAACAACTCTTGGCATTTTGAATATGAACCTTGGTTTCGGCTGTTCGTATAAACCAATGGAATCAAACGGTAGCATGCCAGCAAGGGCAGCAGGGTCACTCATAGCGTGCATAAAAAATATTTGGTCACACCAGGACACAAGCAAACGTCACTTATAGTACGCACACCACGTTGACTCAGCGCGATACGATGATTCAGACTTATAGCTTCGAAAAATCCCTAATGAGTTGCGACACAACTACCTGTCGCTGTGACACCCGATCACTGAATGACTGAATGATCGTTCGCCCTGCGATCCGAGGAGAGTTTCCATCAGGGCGGAGTCTCCAAATGGAGGGGATTTACAGAACCAATAGCAGGGGCCATCGGCGCCGCCCGACGCCTTTTATACGCTTTCGGGAGCTTTCAAGCGAAAAGAGGGTTTTCTCCCCTTGACGTTTTCAAAATAAATACTGTAAACGACAAAAGCACATGAATTTATAATAATGATAGGCATTATCCACTTTCAACGTTTCGAGTGTTTTATGTATTTGTATCAGATCTTTTTGTTCCATTGTAACGACATCAAAATGTACGTTATGTACGGGCATATTTATGACAAGGGGAGCTAAATATCAGGATTCGTATACAACGAATGAAACATGATACTTTTGTCAGACACGTAAGCTGCATTTATTGGCCATCTGATAAAATTATATTCCATTATACAAGGGTCTAACATACGTACTTTTAAATTCAGTTATAATGTTGAGTTTATGAGTAGTAGTGTAATATTTCTTTTTTTTCCGTTGTATTTTATTATTTCTTTATTATACTTAGGACACAAGTAAGTACTTTCTTATATTTTTGTTTAATTTCTGTATCTATTATTTTTTAACAAATTATCATTCAAACGAATGTGTTTGCGAATATACTTCAGGACTATGTAATGAATAGTCTAAGTCAATAACAGACGCGACCTCTAGTTGGTCACATATTGCTTTTTCTGCAAGTACCTATATTGTGTAATTTTCTCAAACACTTTCAGAATGCTAACAGCCACCTAGGTAAAATAAAAGTATTCAAGCCCTACTTAGGTAGGTATATGTAGATACTTATTCGTTCTAAAGTATTACAGTATTCTTATGCTGGCATTTTAATTTTTATTTCGCTTACATTTAATACGAATTTACTTTTCTTTTATTTTACTAATAAGTATTATAAAAGTGAAAGTTTTCGAGAATGGATATTTGTTAGATACTATTTAACGCAAAAACTACATACTAAACGATTTTTACGAAACTTTATAGTAACAAAGCTTATATATATCAGAATAATAGATGGGCTGTAATTTAAAAAGACATCATGTACCTAAACCTAAATCTTGCGAAATATAAGAAAATGTCAAATAGGCGTGATGCAGACGAAGTTATGCGGTCAGCTGGTGCTATACGCAGGCAAACTTTTGTTGCTGGCAAACGTAATTGAATAGAATATTTAATTGACGAGACTATACTAGAATATTTTATTGAGTATAGATTTTTAACGTTTATTGTTACTGTATAAGCTATATTACTGTAAAGCTTCATCGAAATCCGTTTAGTAGCCTTTGTGTGAAAGAGTAACAAACATCCATTCATCCATCTATCCATCTATGTTCACAAACTTTCGCGTCTATAATATTAGTTAGATCCAAACACAAGAACGTTTTTTATATAGGTATATAATTAAGTACCTACATGTGAATAGATCACAATTATTAGTAGAGAATCGTTCTGTTTAAAACGAAGTTGCTATTTATGTCTGTTCGCTTAAAAGGTCTCTTTTAAACTACTAACACAACGGATTTTAACGCAGATTTTAGTAATATTAATTCAAGAGAAAAGGAGTAAATTTATATGTATAATACATGTACCTACTCCAGTGCAAAACCGGGGCGAAAAGCCTAATAAATTAATAATTATGGATTTACCTACCCATCTATTAGCTGCATTTAAATATATAACCTTTTATGAAAGAAGTGTCATAAAAAATCTATAGCATCTTAATTTTGGTAGTAATGACATTAATAATAACAATTACCTACTTAGCTACTGTTAAAAAGGAATTTTGATATAGGAATTGATAGAGCGGCCGTCACTTGAATATCTTGTCGAACAATAAGGCGGTGGGCTTTGTGAAATGTATCAAGTGTGTCTGTCACACTATCAGAAAAGTGATCGGCTCAAGACAACAATGTCGTTAACTGTTGCTGCCTATTGTCAATCACACAACAGTATTCTATGACAGAAGTTTCGCTACCAAAACATTAGGTTTTCACGCATTTATAAAACATTCTCCAAAAATATTTCTAACATTATGCGGATTGCGGATGTTTTCTAAGTTTAATAGGTACCTATTTTTTCCAGAATGCTAAATCATCATTGTAACTAAACGAATAGACCGATTACTATGAAGTTTTCTTTTTGTTTGGAAGCTGATACGTCAGAGAGATAGTTCTTAGCTACAATTTATCAGATTTTGTTTTATTCAGGAGTTACTGAATTACCTATATAATCATTAATTTACCATATTGACAATAAGTAGAAAACATACATTTTTAGATATTATTTATTATATATTATTATAATCTTATAAGTACAATTGTACAGCTAACATTACTCTACAGCTACATTTTTAATTCCTCTAATCTATAGATATCTATATTAAGAAATAAATTCAGTGTAATACTTTATCAATCATTAAGGATCGAAAAAAAAAAATTAAATAGGTATGAAAAATATACCTAAATTATTTTATTTTTTTTCAATCAATGTACCTACCAGATAAAATATACGTTACCATTTTTTAATTTTGTATTTTTATTGTTGTAATAAATTATATTATCGATAAAGTACGACACAGAATTTATTTCTTACATACTTAATTCTAGGTGTCGTATATTACGAATATTTGATATGATCACGATTCACGACTTTCATTCATTGAGAATGATGCGACACGTGTCAACAGGGCAACCGTTTGATCTTGTGCAGTCCCTCTGCATTCTTTGCATTGAGGGATTTGATAATTACAAATCCAACAAGCAGTTACACATCACTCTCCGGGAGTAAATAATAACCATTGATTGCTACAATATTTATAAAATCACGTACGTAATGAAGAATTGTGTATCGACAAGTCAAAAAACACACAACTATGTGAATAGATTTAAGAATTAAATAATTCCTAGTATAGAGCATTTATTCTTGGATAATTTGTAATGTAATAGGGAAAACAATATTACTGATTACTACTACATAGTAAAAAAATATGAAGTAGAAGATAATGCCCCCATTGCTAGTAGCTACTATAAGAATCCTATCGGATGATACTTAGATACTCCTGGAAACCATTATAGTGAAATCCTGGTATATTCGCCAATGGGAATGATGGGTGTTCATGTTAGTGACCTATATCAATTCTATATGGATTAAATAAGACGTCAAGTTTTGACATCTTTCCAAAATTACCTACCACAATCGTTTTTAGTATTTAATCTGTACTATATTATTGGGAGGTAAAGTTTGAGAGTTTGATTGTTCGTACAAAATTCTAGAAAGTTCTTTTGGTACAGATCATTTAGCGAGGAAGGCTACATAAGATCACAAATAGGAGTAGATAGACAAAGTAGGAGTAAAGCGATCAAGTATTTAGATATATATAAACAGCGCATAATAAAACAAAGTTAGTTAGTGTTACATTTTGTAATATTAGATATTAATATCAGTTCCCACTCTCACGCCCACACAATGCGTAAAATTATCAATACAGATATCAAAGACATAATAAAACAGTAAAAGGATCCAAATAAGTCACTTTAATTGGATGAATTCGAGTACATATGTTATTTTTGAAATGTGTCGTACTTTAAAAATACCGAATTATGCATTATTTAAATTATTAACCGGATCTTAACACGAATAATTTTATGGGAAATAAAGGTATTTACCTCTCTCGACGTTTCGACTAGGTTGCACTAGCCGTGGTCACGAGCTGACTGGAATAACAGCGATGTCAATGTAGATAGGTGACAGCAGTTTTTTCTTCATCTACCGTCACTAGATCGTTTAACGAAAGTTCGCGACACACAGCACTCACGGTATCAGTACACTTATTGACTATTGATTCTACTGAACTTTGCAGTTTTGTCGGTCAGTGATTTCGACCTTTGTAACCGCGTAACACACGGACAGGCAGAACGTATAGCCGATCTCAAACGTGAAGTTCATAATAAAAAGTTACTAAAATTGTCAACGCACCAGAAACATAATAAAGTGGTTTCACATATTGGTTTGATTGATGTACAGTCAGACAAGGTACAGTCACTAAAAAAGTGGATTCATCAGATGTGGTGATTAAACTGTTGGGTGAAAAGTTGGAAAAGGAACTAAAAGGACAGGCAGGCAAAGGACTAAATTTCGCTTTGATACCACGCAGGGTTCCTTATGAAAGCATCATCGGAAGTGTCGAAGAAGCTATCAACCGAAATAAAATACCATATAATGACGCAAAATCACTGATACAGGACGTAGCAAACATCTTAAGGAGGACAAATCTGCCAAAAATGTTACAGCCGAAGAACGATATGCACTGAAATGTATTCGTGAAAATGAGAACATCCTGGTACTCAAGGCCGATAAGGGTAATGTTACCGTAATAATGAACACTTCTGATTATGATAGTAAGGTACGTGTCCTATTATCAGATACTAGTGTATACAAACATGTATCCAACAATCCAACGGCCAGAGTGACGCGTCGAACACGAGCACTTATTCAAGAACACCGTAATATTTTCACTGAAGAGGAGTATAATAGTCTTTACAGGGTCAAACATATTCAACCACCAAAATTATATAGCTTACCCAAAATACACAAAAAGAACGCCCCTCTTTGACCAATACTAAGTCAGATCCATTCACCAACTGGCTAAACATGTTGTGAAAATCCTGCAGCCACTAGTGAGTAAATTCTCACCATTTCATACTAAAAAGCCCAAAACTGGAACCTACAGAGATAATGGTGAGTTTTGACGTTGAATAATTATTCACCAATGTTCCAGTGCATGGAGGTGGTCAAGGATAGGCTATTGGAAAAAGACCTGCCGTCACAGTATAGTGTACTTCTGAAACATTAGCTTAGATGCAGGCTATTTTTTTTACCAAGGTGAATACTACCTTCAAATAGATGGCGTTGCAATGGGGAGCCCAGTGGCACCGTTAGTAGCTAATATTTGGATGGAGCACAT